TTCATCTCTCTTCTCTCCAAATATGCTTGAATGAAAACAAAAAATGAACAAGGACTTGCACTCGCTCGCTCCTTATCGGTGTAAACTGCAGGCTGCTGCTGAGATCCTTGTGAACCACCATTTAAACAACAGAGGCCTCTAACCGGGGTTGTTTTTTGGGGGTTTTTTTTTTTGTCTTTGTCAACTTGCCAGCTTTGATGCACAGACCGATGAATAAGTTCCCCAAACAATATACCGTTTAAACGCAAACACCGCATTAGCTACAAGATGGAGGAGGAAACAGGCTCAAACAGTAATGATCCCAATATGCACCTGAATGCAGCGCTGTCAGGGACCCAGTCACCGCAGTACTTTGCAAAGAGCTTCAGCATCTTAAAAACACAAAGGTAAGCACACATACTCCTCACCGACACAATGATGCTGTTCTCCTCAAACACTATTAAAGTCACGTATGCTTTAAATGGAGACTGAACCAACAGCTCAAACAGAACATCAGGATTCCACCGGTGTGCCTGTCTAAGGAAAATACCCCAAATTCAACGTTACACACATTAAAACACAACAGGGACTGTCTGTTTTCCAATTACATAAAGCAAACCAACTCCCCGAATAACTCAAGTCAGGAGCAGTGAGCAACCAAAAACTATTTGTCCAGGCTTAAGAACTAATCCTGCTTTTCCTGAACAAGTCATTACCAAATATCTTAATAGCACAGCAACAAATACATCAGGAATGCCCCACACGTTTAAATGATAGCTTAAAAACTAGCGGCTGAAAGCTGACTGACAGAGAAATGAAGCCTCTGCCTCAACTTTCCAGGCCTCCATCGTTGTGCACTTACCTGTGGAACTGTTATCATTAAGGAGTGTTTTCTGACTATAAAGTGGAGCAATCTTAGTGCCATACCACCGAATAAGTGCATTACAGCTGCGTGGGACGCTCTGACTGCTGTTTTTCGGGTGAATTCTGCATTTCAATGCAGACATGATTCACAGGAGCAGTCGGGTGTCTGTTTGGTCTGAAGAAGTTTGGAATCCTGGTGTCAGTGTGACCAATACTACTGAAAATCCCCACCTTTATCTCTCTACTCGTTTCACCCGATGACTCAGTAAACCTGAAAAATGGAAATTGTCTTTAATGTGAGACAGAAACCAGAAGCGATCGCGCTCAGGTTTGAGCCCATGGCCTCCCCGGTGGTTCCAAACCGGACTCGCCAAAGAAGTGTCAGCGCCACGACGGGCCTCCTCTGATCAGAACCGCAGACCTGACAGAGCACAGCTTCAGGCTCCAGGGTGAGACACACTCAGCTTCTTCATTTCTCTCTCATACACTCACGCTGGTTTTTAGAAAAATCCTGTTCGCCTTTTTTTTGTTTTTCCTCACCAAGTCGGGCACTTTAAAAACAAAATTCGATCAAATATGCTTTCGTGGATGAAAACAGCTAAATGTCTCATGTCTGGAAAACCACAAAGAAATATTTCATACTTTCATCAGTGCTCTCAATATTAAATATTTACAGCTTGCAAAACAATACTGTTCACGTTTGAGAGGGTTGCTTCTAAATATAAATGCTACAAAATGATTTTAAAAGGGTTTCGAAAACGTCCATGTGACCGCAGATCATGTGACCAGGTGTGCTGGGGTGAAAAGGCCATGAAGACGTGAGCTTTTCAAGTGAGTTGCTTTATTTCCTTGACATTGCTAAGTGGTTCTAGGAACTGGTGTCACGAGCGAGCAACTGCTTCTTACAAAGAGAAATAAAGAAAACGTCAGTCCCGGTTAAAAACGACATGATTTATTTATCATCATCAACGCATTATTTGATTATTTTCTTCACGTACGACCGTACACAAGGCAAGTGGAGTTACACATCAGCAGTGCTATCTTCGACAAGTGGTTCACCGGAGAAAATGATGTAGAAGAAGAAGGACCATCGTAACTGCAGGCAAAACATAATCCAAAATCGTAATTATTCCCAATCATCCTTTTATCCAAGTACGCTCTTATTTTGTTCCAATTAAAACAAATTATATCCTGTTCAGGTTTGAGTACTGTAATCAGGAAGGAGAGGATCACTTAAAATCAGCCTGGCAACTCGAAGTTTATATCTTACTAGAGATCCATTTTTGTCAATTGGAATTGAAATTAAATTACCTTTGAACTGATGCTGGCCTGAAAAAGTCATTGCACTCCAGCAGAAATCGTCGGCACTGTGTTCTCGTGTGGTGACACAACCTGTCTGTCTCTGCTGTTTTATAGCCACAACTTGAAAAACTGGTTATTTTAAACACACATTTGCTTAAGAAAACACAACCGTTCGTGTGAGATATCACCCCCCGACAATTACAGCCTCCCTGATTGGGCTGTCGGGGATCCCACTGTCCTCGCCACGCGTACCAAACCGGAAAAGGTCTGACAGAGTAAGATAAGTAAAAGTGCAACATGTGCGTTTGTTGGGTCGTAATTTCTCCGCTCTAATGAAATCATGAGGAAGCAGGCTGATGTGGAGTCACCCACGTCAGGTAACCCAAGAAACCGAAGGAGCAGATATGGAGAGGATTGGGAAGAAAAGGCTTTTTTTTGGAACTAAAATCAAATTGAAAAATTGTTTTGTTTCACGCCAATCACTAGGCACTTACACAATACAGCCAATTCAAACCAACACAATCCGATTAAGTGTAATAGAATCTTAATCCATTCTATTCTAGTTAATCAAACTCCAAATTGGACCAGTTCATCCAGAGCTTCACAGATTAAGACAGCAACAGATCACACTGGATCTGCTCCTAGATCCAACCCCCCATCCTGAGCAAGCACAGGGCCACTGTAGAAAGAAACAACCTCCCTCTGAACAGGAAGAAACCATCAGATCCCGGATGTACAAGCACCTGTCTTAATATATCTATTTATTCATTTATTGGAATAGGGACAAAGCACATTAATGAACATCAGTATAAAAACAAATGTAAATATGCCGGATTACAGCTACAAAGCTAGTTTTCATCCGTAGTCCCTAGGCAGGCAAATACATAAGAAAGAACATATAATATACAATATAAGCATCACGAGGAAATGTTAAGAGTTTAGTGGTCACATGACTGGTTTGTCTAACTGGTGTTTAACAGTCTCATATCCAATAATGATGATACCCAGCGCAGAGAAGAGGTCCACAACCAGGAACAGCTTCATCCTGAAGATCAGCCAAACCCAGGAGGACCCAACACGCTGAGATCTGCTCTGACCTCTCCCGTCCCGGCAAAAATCTATTTACCGGCTCAATCCGGCCCAAAGGGGTCAATCTGAGATGGTCCAGAACGCCGGAGGAAAAAGACGAGCTAGCACCGGTCAGGGACCCGTGGAGCAGACGTAGCACCAGCATCGCCCCAGGATGTTTCCCAGAGGGGGCCACAGGCCGAGTTACACTGCCTCAGCATCAGGAGCGTGTTTATGGACGGTATCAGTGCGTTTTATGTCCACGGAGCAGAAAAGTGTGGTACCGGTGCTCCAAACGTGGAACAGTTCAATCTATAATGGACCTCACACCAGACAAAAGCAGAACACTTAACTATAATATTTATTCCTGCCATCCTACATTTACTGGTCAACTAACTGCCATTTCATTCTGTGCATATCACTGATCAATTGTACCTGTTATTATTATTATTATTATTATTTATTTTATTATTATCTGTAGTAGTA